AGGACCCTGGGGCACCTGGTGGGGGGAAATGTGCCAGAAGGACAGGGTGGTGCCGGTGCCCAACCTGCCCGCCGGTTGTGCATGATGGGATGCCAACCATACTCTGAGGATATGCTTGTCCACACCTGTAGGAGTCTGGCCCACAGAACATAGTCTCTGGTCCTGCTCGTAGCTCTCCGCCCTTGCAGCCCAGGGGTCCTTACCTGCCAGCACAGTCTGGTCATGCATGGCTCTCTCTCTTTTTTTTTTTCAAATAGTTTATTGTCAAATTAGTTTCCACATAACACCCAGTGCTCATCCCCACAAGTGCCCTCCTCCATGCCCATCCCCCCTCCCCCCCACATCCATCAGTCCTCAGTTTTTGTCAGCATTCAAGAGTCTCTCATGGTTTGCCTCTCTCCCTTTCCCCCACCATTTCCCCCTTCTTCTCCCCCTTGTTCCTCAGTTAAGTTCCTCCTAATCCTCCTATACGTGCACACATAAGATATTTGTCCTTCTCTGCCTGACTTATTTCGCTCAGCATAACACCCTCAAGGTCCATCCATGTTGCTACACATGGCCACATTTCATTCTTTCTCATTGCCATGTAGTATTCCATGGTATAGATAAACCACATCTTCTTGATCCATTCGTCTGTTGATGGACACTTAGGCTCTTTCCATGTTTTAGCTATTGTGGAGAGTGCTGCTATGAACATTGGGGTCCATGTGCTACTATGCATCAGCATTTCTGTATCCCTTGGGTAAATTCATAGCAGTGCTATTGCTGGGTCATAGGGGAGTTCTATTGTTAGTTTCCTGAGGAACCTCCACACTGTTTTCCAGAGGGGCTGTACCAGTTTACATTCCCACCAACAGTGTAGGAGGGTGCCCGTTTCTCCACATCCTCGCCAGCATCTAGAGTTCTCTGAGTTGCTCATTTTAGCCACTCTGACTGGCGTGAGGTGGTATCTCAGTGTGGTTTTGATTTGTATTTCCCTGATGAGGAGGGATGCTGAGCATCGTTTCATGTGTCTGTTGTTCATCTGGATGTCCTCTTTGGAGAAGTGTCTGTTCATATCTTCTGCCCATTTCTTCACTGGGTTGTTTGTTTTTCGGGCATGAAGTTTGGTGAGTTCCTTATAGATTCTGGATATTAACCCTTTATCTGATATGTCATTTGCAACTATCTTTTCCCATTCCATTGGTTGCCTATTAATTTTCTGGGTTGTTTCCTTGGCTGTGCGTGGCTCTCTTGAGCTGGGAGAAGCTCCTGGGATCTGCTAGTCTGCTCCTGCTGCTTGCGCCGAGGAAGCCAAGGGACCAGACTGAGCAGCCTTTCCGGGAAGCGGGACCACCCTTGCCTCCAGCCCTGCGGCTTTTCACTTTCAGAATGAATCAGGGAAAATTACCTCTTCGACAGGCCCACTGCTGTTCCAAGTTTCCAGATGGGTGTCAGAAGTTTGAAATATTATGTGGATGTGGAAATCAGTTGCAAATGTGAAAACTGACTACAATTTGTGTGTCTTTCAAGTTTTACTCAAACCTATGGCTAACAATTAAACTGGCAGCAGTAAGGACAGAGGAGGCTCCTCACAGGTGAGGGTGGTGGTCTCCTGCCAGGACTGACGCCCCAACCAACAGAGCTGCCTCTGAGAAGGCATTTCATCAAAGTCCAAACCAAACCAAAGCCCCCACCCTAACTGACTGCATAGTCGCGTTCCAGTGTGTGTGTGTGTGTGTGTGTGCACGCGCATGTATTTGAGAATGTCCTGAGGATGTTTGTCTTTTCTTCTACTAAAATCTGTGTGTGTGCTCATTTGGGGCCTGCAGGGAAAATCACTTGTGGAATCCAGCATCAGTCGCTCCTCTCTTGACTCCTTCCCTCCTCAAGCCCCGCCTCCTCAAGGACCAGGAGTGTGTGCCCTCAGTGCAGCCTCTGAAGACCTGGACCGCTGGGCACAGCCTGGGAACCGGGCCCCACACTCAAGTCCGGGACTGAGGAGGCCAGCGAGGAGGCCAAGGAGCCCGCACACCTAGGCGAGTGAGGGACCCGCTGTCGGCTCCCCTGCAGCCTGCATGCCCAGGGTGTGTTTAGAATCCAGAGAGTTGGAAGAGTGAAACCAGAGCAAGAATAACGTTTCTGGACACGTGAAACACATGACACGGTAATGCCACAGGCAGCTTTATCTGAAGACATCAAGCATATTTGCTTTCAAGTCCTGACTTCTCTCTTGTAAATAGCACAGCCCAGATGGTGTGACACACACCACATGGCTCAGAAGATGAAGGAGTTACTGCTGGGCCTTTTACAGAAAGCCCACCCTTGCCCGAAACAAATCAGTTACCTCAGGATTGTTTCGTGCTAAGAATCGGCCATGTTTGATGAGATGCGAACATCTGCGCGGTGTGGGTACCGCAACTGCAAGGGTCTTGGGTTTTGCCCACCTTCATATGGAGTAAGACTGAACTCAGAGCATGCTGTGTTTTAGCAAGTGCAAACACCCCCAGGGTGACAAGAACCAACACAGTCCAGCCACAACAGTCCACTAAAGGGCCAGCACCAACATTTTGGTGCAGAAATAAAGCACATGGGTGACCTCAACCCCACACATATACTGGATGTCAGGGTCAGAGGTCAAGGCCCACACCAGGAAAGTAGAAAACGGTGGACACCACAGGTCCCATTGCCAACAGCCCGCGGTCAGTGGGGTCCTCATGACACCCTCCAGAGCATCTCCTCACCTGATGCACAGAACTGGGCTCCAGCCATCACACCAACACCTGGAATGTCTGAAGATGGCCAGAGAGATCACCACCAGACTATTCACCTGCTTCCCCTGGTCCAGCTTCCAGAAGCAACTCAGTGCCCAATCCCAGTTATGTTCTCTGAGTCCAAAAAGTGGGGGCATGGCCAGTCCACTCAGACTAGGGGAGTAGTGGGGGCTGGAGTTACAGCACTCAGGGAGCAGTGGGGGTGGAGTCAGGGCACCTGGGGAGGGGAGCGGCAGGGGGTGGAGTGAGAGCACCTGGAGAGGGGAGCCGTGGGGGTGGAGTCAGGGCACCTGGGGAGGGGAGCGGCAGGGGGTGGAGTCAGGGCACCTGGGGAGGGGAGCTGTGGGGTAGAGTCAGGGCACCTAGGGAGGGGAGCGGCAGGGGTTGGAGTTAGGGCACCTGGGATTGGGGGTGGCAGGTGTTGGAATTACAACCTGCTTTCATAAGGTTTTTTGCACGTTGGCCTCTGCCTTGGAGACTAGCAGTTAAACAGGTACTTCGGCTCCAGCCAAATCAGTTTAGCAATGGATATTTGCCAGTGGATGGGTCTAAGGTGAAAGGTTAACGCTGGAGTCAAGGTTAATAAGTAGCACAAAATGATCCTGATGCACCTTTTTTTTAGCAGTCTAACTCAGCAGAGAAGCCGACGATCATCTCTTATTATTTATTCATGAGAGACAATGGCCTAGAGATTATCCCGTAACACTCCAATGCCTTCGGTGCCACATACCGCCATGCCACTGCTTGGGGTCTCAAGCATCCCTAGGTGGTGGGAAAGGAGAGGCTCGTTCCCGGAGGAGCTCCCTGGCAGTCCTGCCAGGTGCGGTGTGTGCAGCCCCAACGCCAGCAGGTGCAGATGCTGACGGGACGCCCCCACAGCACCACGGGTGGGACAGGTTTGCTTTCCTTTTGGCTTCAGGTCTCTTCACAGGTGGGTGTGGAGAGAGAGCTGGTTTGATGGCAGAAGTCCTGGCCAGTCTTGCTCGGACTGCTGACGTGAGATGCATGTATCCCCACAGAGTCTGAGGAGCCTGAGGTCAGCATGTGTGTGTACACATGTGAGTCCATGTGTGTATGCACACGTGTGTGCACTCTGAGTCACTGGTGTGAGTTTGCAGCGCAGCTGTCACAGAGAACCACGTGCTCCACTTCTGGGAACTGCTTTCCTCGTGGGCTGTTGCAGGAGCCGCAGCTTCTGGGCACACCAGCCTGGGCCCAGGGCACGAGGTGCGTCCTCCCTCCTCACTCCAGCTCCACAGGTCATGGTCCTGCCACCACATCTGGGCACAGCAGAAGCTCTCAATAACTGTCTTGTTGACCCATGTACACATCTGCTGTGCCCTCCCCACCCTCCCCGCACTGAGCACGCATGGAAGAAGCTGCTGGGGCTGACAGCGCCATCCTCACGGTACCAGGAAAGGGCCGGAGACCCAGCTCACATGCCAGCATCAGACCAGGTGGCCCTGAAAGCACAGGCCCACTTGTCATTCTGGAGGCTGGTAGGTAGAGACCAAATAAGATAGACAGAGACTAGGAATATAACTCACCAAAGTAACATATTAAGAACCAGAAGACCTCCATGAAGGTTATTTTCCAAAAGTGCTACTTCCTGTGTCTTTTGAACAGGCCAGCTTCCCGAAATTTGAGCACTCCTAGGTGACCCCAAATTCACACCCACACTGAACTGGAATGCGACCTTCGCAGAAGTGGCCACATTATGCAAAGGCTGACCCTGGATCAGGGCAAGGTTTCCTTATGAGACAAGAGAGGGGGAGTTTCAGTCAGGCACCTGGTGAAAGAGGCAGAGACTGGGGTCTCTGCCATGAGCCCAGAACGCTGGGAGAGGGGGTCCGGCAGCCGGGAGAGGCAGGAGGGACCCTCCTGGAGCCTTAAGAGGGAGCACGGCCCTGAGACATCTTGACCTCCTGGCCTCCAGACCTGGGAGACAATGGAGTCCTAAGGCCCCCATTTGTGGTACTTCATTAGCAGCCCCAGAAAACTAGCACTACACCTGCACAGTCTGAGGAAAACCACAGGGAGGCGCTGCAGGGGGACAGCTGGACAAGGGCGGCTATTCCAAAGCAGTCTGAAGAGGGCCCATCCTGTGTGAGGGCCAAAAGGCCCACCCACTTCCACACTCTGCCCCCATCCCTGAGGGGCCCTCCCACTGGGACCCCCAAAACCAAGCAGAAAGCAGCGTCAACGCATATCTTCAAAACACATCCAAAAACTATGGTATCTCTTTTATTTCTGGACAGAAATGGGGCACCTAAAAAAAAAATCAACGCTTTTTAAAATAGGTGCTGTATGTATTATTTTCACACTTGGCTAGAAATTGGGCAGGGGGAGAACATTTCAGGTGTTTATAGGATGACCTCCGATGTACCAGGCTTTGGGGGGAAATCACAGCACGACCAGGAGGGAACGGGCCTGTCCACCAGAGAAGGGCAGACTGAGCGCACTGGGGCCCACGCACAGTAGCCCAGAGAGGGGGCTTGACTTCTTCCCCAGAGACTTAAATTGCCCTTTTGCACTGAGCAAGGACAGAGAAAAAATGAAGATCCTGCTAGTTGTGCTGCTGGCCATGCAAAGCAGCCACTGAGCGCTGGGGGCAGCCTCCTGCTGCTGTCCAGGCTCCAAAGGGCTCAAGTATGAGAAAGGAGCAGCCTGAAGCGAGGGGGGAGGGGGGTAAGGGCCCGCGGTGGGGGGAGGGGGAGGGCCCCTCCACAGGGAGTGGGTAGCGGGGAGCAGGGAGTGGGCCCACAGGGAGGAGGAATGTGGGGTAGCAGGGTGGCGAGAGCAAGGAGTGGGGAGCAGGTAGGGAGTGGGGAGTCAGGGCCCAGGGGCAGCTGGGAGCAAGAGGAGCTGGAGCCATCATGGGGGGTGGGTGGGGAGCAGGGTATCGGGGTGCAGGCAGCCCCCTCCCTCCTGGAGTTTCTCCTCCCCCTGGGGACCATGGTCAGGACCAGAGTGCACACCTTGGCAGCTCTGCACCCCAGGAGGGCCTGCACCTCCTGGGGCAAGGCCTCCAGGCACTGCCTGGACCTGGACACGACTTCGACTTCAGGGCTTTCTGGTCAAGGAGGTGTGCAGGTGTTGAGAACAGAGCAGTCAGGGAGGTGACTAACGCCTTCCTGTCCTTCTAGGTCAGTTTCTTTGCCCGCCGGTTGTGCTTGTCAATGGTCAGGGTGGTCCGGTCCACGGCAGCCGTGATGTCATCCAGGGCCTCGTCCTGCCTCTCCAGCTCTGCCTCAGTGTCCAGGGCAAGACCCTTGAGCTTCCTCAGGATCTGCAAGAGAGGCACCTGTGGCAGAGGGCTGCCTCTCCTAGAGCTCTCAGAAACACACAGTGTATCTTCCTGCCATGTTTACACTGCTTGGGGAGTCCCGCGAGCCTGTGGGAGTGACGAGCACTCTGCCCTCCAGGCCTGCGTCTGGGCCTCCACTGGGCCACACAGCAGCACCCACACCCGCAGCTGTGCACCCAGACATGGGCACGGCAGTCCAGCCTCACAGCCGGGGTCCATGCAGTCGCTGTCTTCAGTACCTGTCTGCACCCAAGGATTGAACCCAGACTGGCGGTAAACACAGGATTTACAAAGAAAAGCCACACCACTTTCTCTTTGTTTTTGAGACATTTCACATACAAACAGCCGAGGTGATCCCTGCTGGGGCTGAGGGGCGGGGGCTGGCCTGGAAGCACAGGCCCGCAGTGGAGGGGCGCGGACAGGCCGGATGGCGGCCCCTCGCCCATTTCTGTGGCTCAGCCACACATCATCCGAAGTCTCAGACGCTGTTAAGAGCAGCCATTTTATTGCAATTCTACTGAGACTACTTGCATTGTGAAATGTACTTTAACTACGTGCGTGCTGAGCCTGGCTTTAAAACTTTAATATCCTCAAGCTGACAACAAAAAGGAATGATTTTAAGAGAAATCTTAGTGACCAACTACGTGCAATAAATATTAATGCCTGCTTCAGGGAAAGTCGGGTCAGGACAAAGGGCCTGCAGAATGTGAATCGCCGAGGAGCCCTGGGTGCCTGTCTGCCCTCTCCCAGTGGGCCCACAGCCCACAGAGGACTTCCAAGTCCTCAGTCACAAGGGGACGAGCGTCAGCAGTAGCCGGCCCAGGGGACCACAGCAGGGACCCAACAGGGCGCTGCACCATGCACTGGTTTCACCCCTACTGGCACCGCCAGGTGACAGCGCAGCCACACCTCAGGGACACCACACCACTCCCCAGGTGACAACTTGGGAGATATCACAAGAAGCCACCCTGCACTGCTGGCCGCCACACAAGGCACAGGATGGAGGTAGGGAGGTGTCTGGAGGATGAGAAGATCCTTCCTCAGGAGTGGCAAGGCTGGAATGAGCTCACAAATGTGAGCAAGCTGTCAAAACTATAAAGCGCCATGTGAGGCGCCCCCGCCAAGTCCTGGAGGCTCAGCTGCAGGAGCGCCCGCCGCCACGGCAGCTCCGTGGAGGGGCTGGCGGTGCAGAGCAGAGGTCGCCTGACAGAGGCAGGCTTGCTGTCACCTTTCCGCGGTCGGGTGCAGCGTCCCCCAGGGAGCCCCAACCAGGTGCGGGACGGCAGATCCTGACCTGGGGTAGCAGGCTCAGACAGCAGCCTTGCGCACCCTCTGGGAGCCGCTGAGTCACTGGAAAGGCTGGACGGAGCTCTGGAAAGTACACTGTGGGGTCAGTCGGCTCCGAGGGACAGGCCCGATGACCTAATACAGGAGGTCTTTTCCATCGCGTTCCTATGACCTCACATGGCTGAGGCCCAAGCGGCACAATAAACAGTCACCACACAGCACCATGTGGGGCAGGTCTGCGCCGTCCTTCCCCCCCAGAACCCCCCCAGGCAGACTCCACCCTGAGTGCACCAATGCAGTGCTCCGGGAGGAACACGCACCGCGTCCCCGCGGGCCGTCCTGGGCCACCCGTGCACACCTGACTTCCAGCCCAGAGGGCACCCCGGTGTCCCTGCCCACCCGCCAAGCATCTGCCAGGACCAGCAGGGCCTGCACCGGGAGAGGGCCCCACTGCCCTTGTGCTGGCTTCACGGGCTTCCACAAGGCAGCCCCGGCCAGCTCTCACTGTGTAGGTGCACAGGACACGAGACTGGAAAGGGAAGTAAGTGGTCCTGAACCTGCCGCCAACCGCTGCTGACGGTCAAGGGCAGCTGCTGACACTGAGGCGCCCGAGATGCGTCCTCCTTCCACCCCGCACACGCACCCTCGCACCGACTGTGACTCTGGGGGCCAAAGCGCACACCCACCACCTCATCCGGTAGGCTGGACCAACCCGGGTAAGGACTGGGGCACTCCTGCCGTGTGCCCACCTGGTCTCTGAGAGCCTTCACACCAGCCGTGTCTCAAACCAGGCCCAGGGGCTTGCCCAGGCTTGGGACCGGCCAGCGCGGCCCTGGCGATGAGCCTACGGGCAACAGGTACCATGGCACAGTGACCCAGGTCACAGCACTCACACAGCCACGGGAGGGCCACAGATGGGACTGGATACTTTCCCATGTGCACATTTCCAGCAGTAGAAACAGCAAGCGCTATGACTTCTAACAATGCGTCCCACTGCACCCCAGCAAACAAGAGTTCCTCTCTTCAGTGTGGAGTCAGTGCGGATGGTCCTTAACTGTCATCAGTAGCTGAGTGGTGTGCAAGCCCTGTGAGCCACGTCTCCAGTGCTCGGTGGCCACACCTGGCCTGTAAGACCACCCGCCATGCAAGAGCTCTCCCCGCTCCCCTCTGAGGCGCCGTATGCCTCTCGCCGGGCTCCAGGACCAGCCGAGTGGCCCGCAAACGTGGAACAGCCGCGGAGTGTGCAGTCCGAATGCGGCTCCTTTCTGCTGCCTTGCTGGCCTCCAAAGACACCTCACGGAGACTCACTCTGTGCAGCCTGCAAGGAGAGCCTGGCTGGCCTGCCAAAACTGCGCCGGAAATGAACGAGTACTGCAGAAATAGGAGCGCCTGGCATAGCCGCCATGTGTGCACGTAAAAGCTCGGAGGCAACGGTCAGTCTCAGAGTGTGCCTCTCACACTGGCGTGTGTCCTTGCCCTTTAAGAAAGGGGCTGGAGACTCTAACCGGCTCCGTGTGCATTCCGCAGAACACGGGTGGAAAGAATGGGGAATAGCAAGTCTGGCCAAACCCAAACCGTTGTTGCTGCCATGGCCCAGGATGACAGGCTGTCTCGTCAGCAGGGTCTCCCCTGCCAGGCTCTCAAGTATCAGCTGGACACTCACAGGAGCCGACCCCGGGCACCGCCTCAAACCTGGCTCCACAGCCGCAACTCAAGGCCCTGCCCCAGTGACCGGCCATCTGCCTGGTCACATTTGCACCTACACGGAAAAGACCTGAGAAAAAAGTGCGCTGAGTTCTGTGAGGAAGCAACTTTCGTAACCTCCAGAGAAATACACGGTGCACACAGCAGAGGTGTAGAACAGACAGACATGAGTGGGCACTGCCCGGTGGCTCAGTGCCCTCCAGCAAGGCGCTGGGCCCCGCTCTGCAGCTTCAGCGACCAGGAGGGACGCCCGGGGGGCTTGGGCCGGCAGCGTGGTCCCCAGGGCAGAGAAGGTACTGTGCTCCCTTCTGTCCTGGTCACGTGCCAGGATGGCCTGTACCCCCGATACCACGGACCTCGGGACAGTGCTGCAGACGACACTGCCCTTCCATCTATAAACAGAAAATCAAGGATGGAAAAACAGCTCATCCAGCAGGGAAGGTCACTTACAAATACGTGTGTTTCATGTGAGTGCCTCATGCAAGCCATCAAGGTGTGAAAATCAGTGGGAGGAGGCAGAGGCCCAGCTCTGCTGCTGAGCCTGCAAGGCCCTGGTCGTCTAGCCTCAGGCTCTGAGCACATCACTGTCGCAGGAGAGGGACACAGAGCACAGCAGCACGGGCCTTCATGCCTGCACAACGTCTGCGATGTGCTGTCTGAAGAAGAAAATGCCTTGTTCTGCCTCGGGATAAAACCCCAGGACTAAGACTACCACTACATCAATATTAAGCACCTAAAGTGAGTTTAGCATTAGCAAGACAGTCTGCCCTGATCTTGTTATTAAGCTGACTTACTGAAAAACTGTGACTTTTCTTGCAGTGAGAAATTAGCAACCATTTAAGAACAGAGCTGGGATAAATCAAGCTGTCTGCAAGTCCAAATAGCTCTTCCAGTTGGGGCCATTAATATGCTATAGAGAAGGTAAAGAGGGAAACACTGGCCTCCAGCACAGCCAAAGCTCTGGAGGCCGTAAAGAACATTCTAGGCTACAATCTGTCACATTCAGCACTCACAGACCACCCCCACGTCCCACCCCATCTGCTCTGCTGCATTCCTCAAGGCCCTGAGGGCTGTCTGTGGACAGCAGCACGGGGTTCTCTTCTAGGGGGGCCCCTACCTCGGCCCCTCCTCAAGCCCGCCTCTCCATGCAACGGGTAGAGAGGCAGATGCACAAGGACCCTATTCCCACCGCAAGACGCAGGCAGCTGTGTCTTCAGGGTTCCCTTAGCCCTCAAAGTGGGCCAACCGGCCTCTTCAACTCAGGGTCCATGCAGGGCAGGCACACAGAGCGCTGCCCAGGACCAGAGGGAACCCTGGGAACCAGCCCGCCATCAGGTCACCATGGGATCCAAGCAGGACTCACCCCAGAATGCAAGAAAATAGAGGCAAAGGCCTAAGACCCGCATCCCACACTCAGAGATGTTCGAGACCTAACTAGTGAAGGGTGTCCATGTTCCTGGGCTCCAAGATGGTAGTGTGCCCCAACGTGACCTCCGCATTCACTGCAATCTGTGCCAAATTTCCAGAAGCCTTTCTTCCTCCCCAGAGCTGGACACCCTGATCCTCCAATCCATATGGAATTGCAAGGAACACTTCAAAGCCAAAGCGACCCTGGAGAAGGAGAACGAGGCTGTTGGACTCACACCTGCATCGGCGCTGTAAGGAGTGTGTGGAAAACGCTACACAGGGAGTAACCCGGGACTCGGGAGTGGCAGCGGGGCCCAGACAGATAAGGGGCCCAGAATGCACGTGGGCCATCCACATAGTGCGCACTCGGCTGCAGAAAGGGAAGTGCCGGCACTACAAGCTCAGTCCGCAGCAAGCAGAGCCGGGCACGGAGGGACACACAGGTGACCACAGCTGAAGGAGGCTCCCTGAACAGGTGACCTTGAGGATCGGGACAGGAGAGCCGTGGCCGCAGGCTGGCGCTGTACGGAGCTTGGACACAACCAATGCCTGCCAACTTACATGATGTGTGTTCACTACAACAGCACACACGGGGTAGGCATCCGAGGTGCACCATCCTGAAACGTCTACACTTTAAGATGTGAGGCTCCCTTGGAGGCTGAGCGAGAAGACAGGAAAGCATGAGCTCCTGCCCGGCCTCGTCCCAGCTCCTGCCCTCCCCTGGGCCATGCTCCACCCTGCCCTTGCCTCCTGCCTCCCTTGCCCCTGCTCCTGCCCTCAGCCAGGGCTCCACAGCCCCTGCTCCTGTTGTGCCACCTGCTCCTGACCCTGCCCACCTCTGCCCTCCCATCCCCATCCTCCCCTCCCCTACCTGCCCTGTGCTCCTCCCCCCCACCTCTGCTTCTGCCCTCCCCCAACCCGTGCATTCTCCTGCCCCTCCTCTCTCTCTGTGCTCCTCCTCCACGACCACCCCCTGAACTCACCACTCTCCCCCGCCCCCATTGCTATCTCCCCAACCACACCCGTCCCTCCTTGAGCTCCTCTCTCCCATGCTACTTCCTTCAACCCCCTGCCCCCTCAACCATGTTCCTCCCTCCCTGAGCTCCTCTCTCCACACAGCCCAGCAGCAGCTCTAGTCGGGGCTGGCCGGTTCTGGAATCTGTCCACTACATGAGATCTCCAGTTTCTTCACTGGGCACTGCCTCCCTATCCAAGTCTCTAGGGCAGCGGAAGGGACACAATGCGTCCCCAACTACCCGGACTGCAAGGGAGCTGCCCCTCCTCGCAGCCCAGCTGCTCCTGGCGATGACCAGGGCCCAATCATCACAGCCAGTGATTTCAGGGGGCAGCGCAGGGCGGTGGGGAGGGGGGGCAGCGCATGAAGTCACAGCAGGCTGGCCAGCGCAGGACCCTAGTTCCCAGTTCAAGGCCCCACCACAGGATGCCTGTCTTCTCAGAGAGGTCAACTGTCCAGAACATCAGAGATTTTCAAGGCTCTTCTTATGGTTTCACAGAAGTGACATAGGACATGATTTCAGGAGCATTTGTTAATAACTTACAAAGTAACATACTGAAAAGAAGGGCCTCACTCACCACTAGTATCTGGACTGGTATCAAAGCCATAAATACCAGTGGCACCCCACAAAGAGGCACTGCCTTTCCCATAAGTGACGAAAACGACTTGGAAACATTCAGGGGAAGACACAGGACACTAAGAGAAGAGGGGGTGGGGAGGAGGGTAGAAACCTGAAATGAGAGCTGAACCCACTGTTCTACCATCGAGTCATTCCAAACAGGTCAGCAGACACCTGTGGCTCCTGTCCCTGAGCAGAGCCCACTTGAGTGCTGCAAGGTGCCTGCCTGCCCACCTGCGCTGATGCCCCTCCATGATCTTACTGTGACTTCACACCTGGGTCCTCACCCCGTACCCCCAGTATGGGGATTGCAACCTCATATCTGGGTCCTCACTCCACACCCCCAGTATGGGGACCCTGATCTCACACCCGGGTCTTCACCGCATTCCCAGAATGGGGACCCTGATCTCACACCCGGGTCCTCACCCTGCACCCCCAGTATGGGGACCGTGACCTCACATCCGGGTCCTCACCCTGCACCCCCAGTATGGGGACCGTGACCTCAAATCTGGGCCTTCACCCCACACCCCCAGTATGGGGACTGTGACCTCACACCCTGGGTCCTCACCCAGCACTCCCTGTTACGGGAAGGGCAGGAGCACCTGGAGCCCCCCTGTGTCACTCAGGCCGCAGTGACTGTTCCATGGTCAGCGGGGAAAGCTGGAGCAGAAGCAGACATGGCAATGGGGTTAGGACATTATGGAGAAAAGCCCCAGGGAGGAGAGAGCTGCATCCAGCAGGCAGCGCGCACGGATGTCTGACAAACAGGCCGCTGTCCCCAGCCAGGAAAGGCCGGCACATCAGACGCGAGACGTGGTCCGCGGCGTCCTGCCAGCCCCATCCAGGGAATCCGGTGCCTTTCCCGGTCCCCACGGATGGTAGCCGCCGCGGTGAGAGCTGGCCCGCTGCGCTGAGCATGCCGGCCCCAGGGAAACCGCAGCCGGTCGTCTCTGTCAGCATCCGAACTGCAGGGCAAGGCACCAAGACCGTTTCCACGTAAGGACTGTAACAGCATCTGCCGCAGAAACCACAGCGGAACGGGAGGGGGTGGGGGGTGGGTCTTGCATTTCTGTTTTCCCCAGAAATTTACCTCATTCCCACTTACACTGGAGCTTCAGCTACAGTTAAGAATTCTTGTCTAAATACAAAACATGTGTTTCACCTCCAAAGGACGAGGTCCCGTGGAGCTGGGCCCTCCCTGCAGGGGGGAGGCAGCTGGCTGGTGCGGAGTCCTGCTCTCCTGCGGCGCTCCCCTGCCGGCACCGCCCAGGGGTCACCGCATCTGCCCTGCAACTGGTGCCCTGACTCATGGCTTGCTCACCTGTGGACAACGGTCAGGACTGAGCCCAGGGACACAGCCTCTCGCAGGGAAGGAGGGCGCGGGAGCTCACTCCATTCACACCCTGACCTCTAGCACCTCGGGCACAGGCTGCTGGTGTGAAACTGAAAGGGGCCTCTCAGACCACATGGCCGCCACCAGGACCAACAGGTAAAATCCCTACATCGCCCATCAAAGAGTCATGCCCCTGCCTCGGCCTCAACACAACGGTGGGACGCCTTCGTAGGAGGGTGGGAAAGCGCCCCAGAGGCCCCAGCGGGAGTGCCCACGTGGTCTCTCAGGAGACAGGGCCTTGTCTGTTCCGGGAGGCCTGAAGCCTGTCCTGGAGTCCATACAGGGTCACAAGGAGCAGGTAGGAACCTGAAGAATTTGTGGCTGCAGCTAGGAAGAGGCGTTCCTATGTGTCATTACTGAGTGACTAAGTCAGACCAGGGGAAAGAGTGACAGCTCATGCATACTGAAAATGTCCCACAGCAAAGATGAATGCCTTTTTCCAAGGAGGAAATGGCCCAGCTTAAAGGAGACTGTGCCCATGCAGACACAGCAACAGGACTTCCTCTTTCAGAGCAGCTTTAAAAGCGAACTACCTATGCCCTGGTGGAAGAGCGAGGTGCCACGGATGGAATGGCCTCTCCCAAGCAGAGCCCGAATCCAACAAAGCATCCCACCATCAACTCGGGAGTCCGAGTTTTCTCATAAATACGCCGTGAAGCAAACAGAAAGGGCAGAGGGAAGCTGTATACGCGCAGGCACCTCGCCAGCTGTCTGCATGGGCTGCGTGTGGGTCCCGAGCAGCACAAACACACGCGCCTCCCTGAACACGAAGACTGATGTCTGGTGAACCAGGTGAGGGTGGCAGTTCTTATGTTCTACAGACATCTGCTGACACGCCTAGGACTGTTGTGATATGATGTCTAGGCATCTGCTTCAAAATTCCTTAAAAAGGAAAAAATAAAATCACCATTGTCCACCAATAATATTGGAAAACAAATTAAAATATTTCCATCAAATATTGTTTAAAGTTCAACTTTTGGACAAAGAGTGTCCACGAGAATCCAGTATCAAGGTCTTGAGAGAGATGTGGGTGAGTGAGTGTGCTCAGTTGCACATGCATCTGGGGCACCTGCACACACACATACACATAGACATACAGACATACACACAGCAATGGACATACAGAACCCACACAGATACATGCACAGCACACACACATGGACATACACACATGCACAGCACATGCAGAGACACAGGGACATACACAGACATCGCACAGCACACGCACACACAGCACACATGTATGCACATATCTGCAAGTGTACGACAGGTGGGAGCGGCCACAGGCACAATGGCGTGTCTGCACATGCAAGGACCCTTAAAAGACGCACTGCTCTTTCCCTGCCTTCTGCAGCTGCAGAGAGCAGGATGTACTGAGACCCGTGTACACCAGGGGGCGCCGTCTGCAGGCCCCACGGCACCATAGCGCACGTTACCTGTCTCAGCTCTTGGGCGTCTCCCTCAGAAATGAACGGCTGGCGCGCCTGCACCTGGAATGGCTGGACCTCCTGGCTGCCCGGGCAGGGCTCCCGGTGAGCGGCCCGGTCCATCAGCCCAGACGCTGCAAGGGAAAGTCAGACAGCAGTGACATCTTCCTGGAGGTTGCAAGCGACCCGGGAACATTCAGAACCTTACATGAAATGACGCAAAGGGGTCGAGGGCCTTCAGGGCTCTCACACACACCATCCACAGCCTCTGCGCCTGTGGGGAGGTGGGTGTGGTGGGTGGGCCGGTCCCCGGGCTCCGCCAGGGCTGGGTGGGGGCTGCCCGAGGCCTACCCCGGGGCCACGCTGCTCCCTTAGCCCTGTGCTGGCGGGAGAGTCAGCGTCTGGGTCTGTGGCTGCCATCTGAAGACAGGCCCTTTCTCCACCAGTGGTCGTTAGCCTTCTCCAGGGAAAAGCCCACAGGTTTGGGATATCAGAGGTGCCACGCGCTGACCCCTGGCCCAACGCCCAGGAACCCCCTGCTGTAGGCTGCGGCGCCGAGTCGTCGTCCCACACGGCGCCGTGGTTCTCCAGAGCACAGGAAACAACCAGCAGCCTGGGTCAAGCAAAGCTGAGCGCTCCTGCGCTGAGCTGGGGTGAGTCAGAGCACCGCGCGTGGCCAGGCACTGCTCGGGGGTGCTCCCGTCCCCCAACACCTGAGCCTGGCAAGCTCCTGAGGAGCAGAAGGGCAGACTAATGAGAGACCCTCCTGGGTGCAACCAGCCTCCACCTGCGGCCCTGGGGCGTCGGTCAGGGTCTGAGGCCTGCATCTTCTCCATCATGCATAGCACCCAGGTGCGCGGCACAGCTGAGTTTATATGAGGACGCCGCAGAGCAGAGAGATCCTTGGACGAGAGTCAGCTGTCTGGACCGCAGCATCTCTGGGTGCTGGGGACCAGAGGCGCGGAAGGGCCACCCTAGCGGTGGTAAGCAGCCATCACGGCCGCGGGAGAACGCACAGTCAGCACAGGAAGGAGAAGGATGCTGGTCTGCGATGAGCTCCCGCTGGCCACCTCCGCACATGCGCAGACCCTCTACTACTTGTGTTTCTCCAAGTAACGCGAACAGATTCATACTCCCTGAGGAGCAAAGGGAGCAGGGCCTCTTCCAGGACAAGTGCGGGCTGGGCGAGGACAAGGCAGAGGCTTCTCAGGGTCCTGCAGCGGAACAGGGCCCAGGCCACACAGAGAGCGCTCAGGAACGGTGGGCGGAGCAGGGCTGTGGAGGCAAGACCCCGGGCTGGCCAGCCTTGCTGGAGGAGGCCCTGTGCAAGCGTGTGCACACCGTGTGTGCCTCCTGTGAGCAGTGCGACCCATGGAGAAGGCCACACCCTCATCCAGGGGGTCCAAATGTCTTCCCAGATGAAAAACAACTGTACACCATGCACACACGTCTGGTTTTCTACTCCATTCTTTAAAAAATGAAATAAAAGCTAGGGGCCCCTGGGGAGCTCAGTTGGCTGAACGTCTGACTCTCAATTTCGGCTCAGGTCATGATCTCGGGTTCGTGAATTTAAGCCTTGTGTCAGGCTCTGCACTGACAGTGCGGAGCCTACTTGGGATTCTCTCTCTCCCTCTCTCAAAATAAATAAACATTTTTTAAAAATAAACGCTGACTGCAACCAACAAAATTGCTTTCACAACCTGTGTTCTAAAATCTCCAAAGCCTCATCGTCCTCCAATTTCCTCGGAGCTTTTAAATGTTTATTTTTTAACATTTATTTATTTTTGAGAGAGAGAGAAACAGAGCATGAGCAGGAGAGGGTCAGAGAGGAGACACAGAAGCTGCCAGCATAGAGCCCGACGTGGGGCTTGAAGTCACAAACCGTGGGATCATGACCTGAGCAAAGTCGGACACTTAACTGACTGAGCCACCCAGGCGCCCGAACCCTCGGGGCTTTTAATAGCAAGGAACTTTCCAGAGCATGTAGCTCAGCGCTGTTTGGCCTTAGTGATGGAAGATGACACCATCTACACTGTTACATAAGGAAAAGCACTTTTCTGAAGCGGGCTGCAGAGGAGAAGCACTGGAAACAGAAACCTGGTCCACAGGTGACACTGGCCTGAAGGAAGGACCAGAGAACACAGTGATGGCACAGAGTCACAGTGATAGCACAGGGAGCACAGTCCTCCTGTGGCACAGTCCTTCTCGGTGTCCACTCCCCAGCCTCCTGATCCGGCACACCGACGTGTCCCCTGCCCAGCCACCCCATCAGCAACCAGATGCCCCGGCATCACTGTGCCTGCGCAGCTGCGGTCCCGTGCCTCCCCTGCAATCCCTGGCGGGGGGGCCCCCCGCCAGCTGCTCCCATACCACAGCACAGGGTACCCGGCCCCATGTGCCTCCACTGCCCCTCCAGGGTGTGCCCCACCCTGCAGCTGTATTCTGGAGGGCTCGCTGACCTCTTCTGACTGTGTAACAAAAGGGGTTTTTACTTAACCAGAACGCCCAGAGAATTTTTCTTCCTGGAATATGCTAAGTCGGGGTATTTTTCATGAAGAGCTGCGGGGTCAGCAGGATCCACAGAGCTCGGCACCCCAGGGCTCTGTGCTGAGACCTGAGTCACTGACTCAGTGACTTCAACGCTCTGAAATATCGCCGAAGAAAAATCAATTTTAGTACAAGATGCTTTCTGTGTCTGAAGTCATTAATTATCTCAGTTAAACAGAATCAGCATGAATCGTTCAAGCTAGAGGGAGTGTGCGGGTGATTTCACTTTCCAGGAATGATGGCTGGGCTGGGAGGGGCAACTGTGGATGCACACCTGGCCTCACTGTGTGTCCAGAGCCAGACCTGGCAGCCACACCCCGGGAGCAGAGCAGAGCCTCCAGGACCGCTGCTCCTGGTCTCTGGGGCCCCAGTGCCTCACCGATGGCACAGGGGTGGGCCCAGGAAACATCAGAGCACGCCCCAGCTCTCGCTTATGCAGGAAGCACAGGACAGAGAGTGGAAAAGAGGGAAATAGCAGTGTCCACGAAGTACAACCATGACAGCGAAGTCTGCACACCTGCTATGGAGCACACAGGTGGGAACCACGGGTCCTTGGGGGGGGTCAAGTGGGTCAGAGTCGCACGGCGCCCAGGGGTCTGCTGGGGTCCAGGGGTGCCCACATCCTAGTGACCACACAGGGAGGGGATGTGTGCTCAGCGTGGTGCCCATGTTCCAGTGGCCACATGGGTGGGGGTCTGTCTGTGGTCACTGTGGTCCCTGCATCCTGGGATCAGGGCTCCACCACCTGGAGCTCGAGTCTTAAACGAGCACCCCTGCACAGGGACATCACTGTCACACAGACATGTGTGCCGCTGGACACCCAGGCCTGTCCTGGTGCTGAAGACGCAGTCACTAAGGTCTGGTCCGGCACACATCCCAGTGTGGAAGCGTGAGGGCTAACCAGGGGCGCCCAAGGACCGGCACAGGGTGAGACCTCTGTCTGGTGAGGGAGCAGGTGGCCGGCGCCTCTTCTACTAGGCGGTCAGCAGTGACCAGTTGGCAGAGATGAAAATAAGTTCCCCAAACACTGTGAACCACTACCCGTGCACCTTGCTCTGAAGTCCTCCTGAACCTGTCAGCCCAGGGTCAGGAGACAACATGACACAAAGTGCACACCTCCGCACGGACATGTCCTGTGGGGCACCACAGGCGGTCGGGGACGGCGAGCACCAGGGAACGTGCACGAAACTTGGACTGGGGAGAGCGGCAGTGGGCATCACTTGGTCAGGGCACTGGGGTCTGAGACGTGGGTACTCCACCCTCCTCACAGGGTGTCCCCAAGCCAAAGCTAGGTACTGCTTCCGCCCAAGGTGACACTGCCCACCTGGTTGTCCAGGCTCCCGAGGCCCCTGGAGGCACCCTGGGCCGGCAGCTGGCTGGGCCGCCCACACTGCACAGGGCTGCCCACACTGCACAGGGCTGCAGAGGTCTCTGTAAAGTTCCTCTGGGTCCCGTGACTACACTGCCACCTTCTGGCCACACGCTCAACCTCAACAGCTGCTAGAGGAGATGTCCCCCATGGTCTCCACCTCAGGTTCAGCAGCCCACAGCAGAGGTGACACAGCAAGTCAGCACCCTGCTCACAGCCCTGCAGCTCCTCCCCCAGCTCCCTCCTCATCACCTGCAGAAGCTCACGGGCGGGCAGGGCGGCCTCACCAAGGGAGAACAGCACCTCCTGCTCCGAGGTGAAAACCCACCTGTCATTCCGATGCGGCTCCACTCATTCCATGCACACAGGCCCCGTCACGCATCCCAACCCAAATCTGGGCCTTGCCGGGGAGCTGTGTGCAGATGCAACTGACGGTAGGTGACTGTGGCCTCCCTGAGGGGGAAGACGTCTGGCCCATGGTCAGCAGTCCTGGCCAGTGCCCTTCCTGATCTGCACCCTGGCCGCAGGGCTCTGGCTCGCACATCCTGCTCCTCTGTGGCCGCATCTGCCCTGATGACCTCTGCTGCGTGTGGCCGGCTCACATGCACCAGCCACACCCTGTGCCGTGCCCTGTCTCTGAAACCGCCAGCTCTAACAGAAAGATCACAAGCCACGAATACGGTGGAGCCCCACAAGGACAGGGGTGTGGTTGCCTGGCACCAGGTCCTTGGTCTCCCCTCACTGCCCAGGCCCCTTCGGTCAGGGTCTTAGGCTGGTGGCTACCTCCCACCCTCCCTGGCCCTGTCATGGGCTTCTAAATCTGGCCTTGAGACAGGGGCCAAAGAAAAATCTGGACACACCAAGAACATACGTTGTTTTTTTTTAAATGTTTTACTGTTATTTGAGAGAAAGAACATGCACACACTGTAAGTGGGGGAGGGAGGTGAGAGAGAGAGAGAGAGAGAGAGAGAGAGAGAGACAGAATCTAAACAGCAAGCCCAATGTGGGGCTCAAACCCATGAGCCACAAGATCATGACCTGCACTGAAGTCATACACTTAACTGACTGAGCCACCCAGGTGCCCTAAGAATATACATGTTTAAATTAAGTTTTTACATTAACATTCCCAATATTTTGGTACTTACAGGACCAGATCTATTTTCAAGCATATTTCTTCTTGAAACTTGAAGCCATCTACAATAACTTCACAGTTTGCATGTGCTAGGGAAACCAGTTATATATTAGCACTGTAATGAATCAGTAACAAACATGTCTCTTACATTAACAGGCACCCAGCAATCTAAGTTAATAAGAAAGGACTAGGGGTGCATGGGTGGCTCAGTCTGCTAAGCGGCCAACTTCGGCTCAGGTCATCATCTCACAGTTTGTGGGTTCGAGCCCTGAGTTGGGCTCTGTGCTGACAGCTCAGAGCCTGGAGCCTGCTTCAGATTCTGTGTCTCCCTCTCTCTCTGACCCTCCCCTGCTCATACTTTGTGTGTGTGTCTCTCTCTCAAAAATAAATAAACATTAAAAAAAAAAAAAAAGAGGGGCGCCTAGGTGGCTTAGTCGTTTGGGCAGCCAACTTCAGCTCAGGTCATGATCTCATAGTTTGTGGGTTCGAGCCCCATGTCAGGCTCTGTGCCGACAGCTCAGAGCCTGGAGCCTGTTTCAGATTCTGTGTCTTCCTCTCTCTCTGACCTTCCCCTTCTCACATTATCTCTCTCTCTCAGAAATAAATAAAACATTTTTAAAAATAATAAATAAAAGAAAAAGAAATAAGGAAGGACTACGGGGCTGTCAGAAAAATCGCTATAACATAGATGTAAGATCACCTATAACTCCAGTATTAGAAAATACGATACTTTATGACATTGGGATTTCTTAAGCTGGGCTCAAAAACTGAAGGGGAAACACGGTGGGTGTGACCACAGCAACCTTCAAGATTTCTGTGGTGGAGAATGACAGTCTGGGAGAGGTGTACTGGTACCCTCTGAAGTCAACAGGGGATGCGTATCTACATGTAAGGAGCTCCTACAGATCAGAACAAATGAACAAACACCACAAGAAAAACACAGGACAGGCAATCCACAGAGAACACCTGTGAGGCCACAAAGCAAATAAAAGGTGTGAGACACCCCCTCGCAATCATTCAGAGACACAAAAGTAAAGACTAAAGACATGACCGAGATGGTATGTGACACCCACCAGGAAGGCAAGCCTGAGGAGTCCGGTGGCCCCAGGCTGCCCTGAAGGCACAGACCCAGCCCCACACTTCCCATGGCGACATGCAGGAGGACCCCACAGGCCCTCGCCAAGGCCTACAAATGCACAAAACACATCTGCACGGTTGTCCAGGATTCTCATTCCCAGACACATTCCTGGCATGGGCCCAGGTCAAGGGTGCAGGGACTGGACACCCAGCAGAGCCGGCAGGTTGTTGCCAGGTAAGTTCCACAGAGGAAAGAGGTGAAAACACCAGCCCTGGAGCCCTCCTCTTTTCTGGACAGAGAGCAGACCCCGGGGAAACCTGCCAGGCTCTCGCTCAAGGGTGTGGTACACCTGAGGTCTGGCCTCCCCACTTCAGGGTGGCGGAACTAAGGAAAGTGGCCCGAGGTCGTTTTCACCTACAAACAAATGCACAGTTGCTGGTGCCTGGAAGCCACAGCTGCTCCAAGCAATTCCTCACGTGACGGGCAAGCCACAGGCATGCTGCGTTTGACGGCGATTCTGGAGACCTGTGCAGGGCTGTGCCGACGGTCGCTCACCTGCGTGCCATACAGAGCTGCCCCTCTCTGCTGCCGAGGAGGTTCTGGTGCTGCCAGGCGTCAGGGCATCTCCTAATACCTCCATCTTCTTGCTGAACTGCACCTCCAAAACGGGAATGGCCTCTGGCATCCTGGCAGATATCAGGTGATAAGCTATGTCGGGCTTCCCAATGAACCGCTGGCGGATACTGATCTCATAGGGCGTGTGAACCTTAATGTCATCCACATCTTCTCTTTCATACCTATGCATGAGCATGGAACTCGAGTCATGGATTTCCAGCCCAGACACCAAGACGGTGAGACTCCCTGGTTTGACATGGGACGCTGTTCTCTGGGAGACGACAGCAGGGATTCTGACCACTACCCCTTCCTTCCCAAGAGCTTTGGGACTAGACGTAGAGGCCCCTTCTTTGGGCTTTGTTTCTGATGGCGTCTTCCAAAGTTTGGAGCTAAAGGGCCACCAGGAAGGGGACTCCAGCTCTGTCAGCAACCTAAAAGTCCAAAACAAAACACAGAACAGTCAACTGAGTTTCGTGCATTGTCTTCAAAACTGCTTTAGCCTTTATACAGCAGTTAGCCATTTTACAGGGCCCTTTTCCACAAGCACTCCATGAAGCAGAAGCGCAGGAATTACTATCCGTGTTTTAAAAAAGAAAACCAAGGCTAAGAGCATATCTCTTCCATCTACAGACACAGAGCTAATCAGTAGTAAGCCCACAACAGAAACACATGTCTTCTGGGGAGCCTGGGTTGCTCAGTCAGCTAAGTGTCCCACTTCCCTGGTTTCCGTTCAGATCATGATCTTGCAGTTTGTGAGTTTGAGTCCCATGTCAAGTTCTGCGCTGACAGCGCAGAGCCTGCTTGGGATTCTCTCTCCCTCTCTCCCTCTGGCCCTCCCCTGCTGGTGCTCTCTGTCTCTCTAAAAATAAATAAATAAACTTAAAACAAATTTTTAAAAATAAAAACAGAAAGGAAAAGAAACACATACCTTCTGAAAAATATTGCTCTTTCCACGTTTGACTCTGGGTGATTCTGACTCCAAATAAATCCTGATCTGAATTTCTAGGGAGCCATCTGATGGAACTTTCTGTAGTAATCTGTCCTGTATGATATGGTAATGGGCACATGGGGCTACTGGGCACCTGCAGTGTGGCTCCTAATGAGGGATTGAATTTTACACTTAATTACATGTGGCTAGTGCCTACCATATCAGATGGTATAGCTATAAAATAACCACTAATAACACCAGGAGATCTATCTTGTGATAAAAAAAACATAAGCAGGAAAGAAAAGCAAAGGAACAAAGACCAAACAGAAAAAACAGAAAATAAATACTAAGATGGTAGAATGAAATACAGCCATATTAGTAATTATACTAAATTTAAATAGACCAAATCCTCTAATTTAAGGCAGATTGTCAGCCTGGATTTAAAAACAAAAACAAAAACAGGACACAGCTATATCTTGTTTATAAAAGATGCTGTGAAATATAAGGACACAGACATGTCAAAAGGAAAGGAATTGGTAAAAAGATACATCATGCCAGTAATAAACCTTAAGACAAGGAGTATTACCAAGGATAAAGATAGGCACTGCATAATAATTCATCAACAATCCACCAATCCAACAAAAAGACTGAATACTAAACATGTATATCTGACGAAATTTCAAAACTCATTGAGCAAACTAAACTAAAAGAAGACAAAACTAAAAGAAGAAATAGACAACCACAGTTGTAGGTTTTAACAAATTTCTCTCCATAGTCAATACAGCAAGAAGACAAAAACAATTAGTAAGAACATAAACACTGTTTAACCAACTCAACCTGATTGATATTTATGGAACCAACATCTAACTGCTGAATACACACTCTTTAAGGTGTGTTCAGAACATTAAAAAAAAAAGGTATAATGCATCTCAATAAATTTTAAGTACTGAAATCATACAGAGCATATCCTCTGTCCTCAAAGAAATGAAATTTGCAATTAATGACAAAAGGCTAATAGAAAATCCTCAAATATCTGGAAATTAAATACAATTCTAAATAAAGGGAATCAGAAAAAAATCTGAAGTGAATGAAACAAAATGACATGCAAAAAGTGGCAGGAGACAAGTAGAGCAGTCATGAGGAAAATTTATAGCTCTCAGTGCATGTCTGAAAACTTCTTAGAAGGATTTAAAATCAGTGATTTAAACTTCAGTCTCAAAAAGTTATAAATTGAACCCAAAGTAAGTAGAAGAAACAAAAAGCAGAAATCAATGAAACTGAAAACAGAAAAAAGAAAATACTAACAAAGCCAAAAGCTGGTTTTTTGAAGTACTTAAAAAAAAAGTAAACCCTTGCAAAAAGTGGTCCAAAATAAAGCAAAGAAAATGAATATCACCAACATTAGGAGTGAAGGAGGCATCACCATAGAGCCTTTAGCCTCGGAAAGGCTCCTTGGGGATGCCATACCCAACTGCACACCAATAAATTGGACTTTTATGAAACAGACAAAACACTCAAAAACCCCAACCTTCCAAAACTGAAGCAAGTTCAATAATATGAATAGCCATAACAAAGTAGCAGAAAGAGAAATTGAAAAAAAAAATTCTCATTTACAGATGTACTAAAAATAATAAAATACCTTAGGAATAAATTTAACCAAGGAGGTGGAAGATTTGCACTCTTAAAACTTTAAAAAATTGATGAAAGAAATTAAAGATGACACAAAGAAATGGAAATATATACCATGCTCATGGACTGGAAAAATTAAAAAATTAATTAATTAAAATTTAGGTTAAAATGTCCATACTACCCAAATAAATCTACAAATCTAATGCAATCCCTATCAAAACTCCAAAAGCATTTTTCACAGAATTAGAACCAATAATACTAAAATCTGTATAGAACAACAAAAGACCTCAAATAGCCAATATGAACTAGAGAAATAAGACCCTAACTGGAGTTATCACAATCCCTGATTTCAGGATATACTGCAAAGTTATAGTGATCACAACAGTAGCGCACTGGCACTAAAAGAGACATACAAATCAAAGGAACAGAATAGAGAGCCCAGAAATATACCCACATTACATGTTCAATTAATCTATGATGAAGGACATAAGAATATGCAATGAGTAAAAGACAGTATCTTCAACAATGGTGTTGGGAAAACTGGATAGCCACATGCAAAAGGATAAAATAGGACTCTCTTTTACACCTTACACAAAAATAAGCTCAAAATAGACTAATGGATTAAATGCGAGACCTGAATACATAAAGCATCTAAAAGAAAAAGTACAGGGGCACCTGGGTGGCTCAGTCAGTTAAGCATCCGACTTTGGCTCAGGTCATGATCTCATGGTTTGTGAGTTCGAGCCCAACATCGGGCTCTGTGCTGACTGCCAGCTCAGAGCCTGGAGCTTGTTTCAGATTCTGTTATCTCCCTCTCTCTCTGACCCTCTCAGACCCTCCCCTGCTCACGCTGTCTTTCTCTCTCTCAGAAATAAAACATTAAAAAAAAAAAAGTACATAGTAATTGGCTAGACATCGACCTAAGTAACATATTTGTGGATACATGTCTTTAGGCAATGGGAACAAAAGTGAAAACAAGCTGTTTCACTTTATTTTCACAGAATAAAAAGCTTCTGCACACCACAGGAAACCTCTGACAATACAAACAGGTAACCTACTGAATGGAACAAGATATTTGCAAATAATACATCTGATAAGCAGTTAATATATAAAATATATAAAGAACTTCTATGACTCATCACCAAAACAAACTAACAAAAACCCAATTAAAAATGGGCAGAGGATCTGAATAGGCATTTCTCCAAAGAAGACATCCAGATGGCCAACAGACACATGAAAAGATGTTCAACATCATTCATCATCAGGGAAATACAAATCAAAACTACAATGAGATACTACCTTACACCTGTCAGAATGGCTAAAATTAACAACTCAGGAAACAACAGATGGTGGCAAGGATGCAGAGAAAGGGGAACCCTTTTGCATTCTTGGCCAGGAATGCAAACTGGTGCAGCCACTCTGGAAAAAACTACAGAGGTGTTTCAAAACTTAAAAGTAGAATTACCATATGATCCAATAATTTCACTACTGGGTATTTACCCAAAGAAAATAAAAACACAAGCAGTAAAGATATATGCACCCCTATGCTTACTGAGGCATTATTTACAATGGCCAAACTACGAAAGTAACCCAAGGGTCAATCCACAGAGGAATGGATAACGAAGACCACACACACACACACACACACACAGAAATATTGCTCTGCCACAAAAAAGAATGAAATCTTGCCATTTGCAACAACATGGATAGACTTAGAGAGTATTATGCTAAATAAGACAAGAGAAAGACAAACACTACAGGATATCACTTATATGGAGAACCCAAAAAACTAAACAAATAAACAGAAAAAAAAAAAAAACAGAAACAGACCCATAAATACATAGAACTGCTGGTTGCCAGAGGATAGGGGGGTTGGGTTAGGAGAAGAATGAGTGGAGTGGGGGATAAAGGCTTCCAGTTAAAGAACAAATAAATCATGGGGGTAAAAGGTACAGCACAAGGAGTATGATCAATGATACTGTAATAGTGTTGGATGGTGACAAACAGTAGTTACACTTGTAGTGGGCACAGCATCAAGTATAAACTTGTCTGATATGTTGCACACTGAAATTAATGTGACCTTGTATACCAATTATACTTCTATTAAACAAAGGGAGAGGTGTGGACATCCACCCTCACCTGGCTGCACTAGGGTCCTGCCCCGAGAGCAGGATGGCGGTACAAGAGGGAGCATGAAGAGCCAGTGCAGTAGAGGGGGATGGTAACAATACCTCCCTGATTCTCCAATTTAGGGCACTGTTGGCCCTTAGTCGATCTAAAAATTCACATGGAAGTGCAAAAGACCCAGAATAGCCAAAACAATCCTGAAAAAGAAAAGAAGTTGGTGGCTCTCACTACCTGAGTGTGAACTTATGATGGTGTGGTACTAAAGAAGGGTTACAGCATGGATCAATGAGATGGAACTCAGAGTCCAGAAACAAACCTTTACCCTATGGTTAGCCGGTTTTCAAGAAGGATAAAAGAACAATTCAGTGGGGAAACATCTGTCTTTCAACAAATATTGCTGAAATCAATGAATAGCGATACACCAAAAAAAAATTTGACTCATTTCTCACACCATTCACAAAAATGAACTCCCAGTGGATCACAGACCTAAACATAAGAGCTAAACTATAAGTATCCTGGAACAAAGCAAAAGAATAAACCTCTGTGAGTCTGGATTAGGCAATGAACTGGATATGACACCAAAGGCAACTGACAAAAAAAAAGAAAAAGACAGATACATTGGTCTTCATCAAACTTAAACTCGTTTAGCCTTGCATCCAGCCAGGTCTGGATGCTATCTGCTGGGGAAGCACATGCCATCAGGTCTGGGTATCATGGTGTCCATAACAGATTTACCACAACAGAATG